CAGGTAGTGAAAGCTGGTGAGTGACCCAATGAATTACGGAACTTACTATCGGTGATGCAATGATATTTAACTTCTACCTATATAAACTTTCTAGAAACTTCACTAAGATTACGAAATATCTTTCATTCACAGTGCACTTCAGATAAAATCCGCGTTTTGTGTCCGAACCACAGTCATATTCCCTTAGTTTAGCTTAAGAACCTGTAAAAATGTGAAAGAACGTCTGAGAAATGAACATGGGTAAAGTGGTTAATCTTGAGATATCTGGCAATTGAAAAAGGGTGATTATTTCCTACACAAAAGCATTTCACGTCGGTGGCACAGTGGTTAGGACTCTCGCCGACCATGCACATGGTCGGAGGTTCGATCCCCTGCCGACGCACACCCGATATCTATGGTCGGCCTGCAAAATTTGGACTACCGATATCACATGCTGAAAATTCCATACTTGTACCAAAAAATACGGTGTGGCATCAAGCTGTAATCAAAATCAAAAAATTATCTTCATCTAAGTAAGGAATTTTTAAAGACCAGGAAGGATGAAGTGCAGGCAAGGAATGGGATCTTCAACTCAGAAGTGGACTATGGAATTTTAGTCATAGATGTGGACTGGTAGAAAACTCAATATTGTTGTCAGCTGTTGGATAGATGCAGAACATACGAAGGAATTTGTCAGTTGAACCACTGCCATTAGTATTTAGTAGACCAGAGTCGACTACCATGCTTCCAGGAAGTGTACTTGGTTGAGTGTTTTTCAGAAATCTACTGACTGAGATGACGCATCACAGTAATATTCTTGGTAACACAAATTATGTGCTGTGGAGTATAGATCTACTTTATACTCATTAACATTACTGTGTCATATATTTAATAAGCAGTCTTACACTTGAACAAAATGATTTTTTGAGATAATTTTTTAGATAACTTCTTCTTCAGGCTGTATGGTTATAAATTCACGACGAATTCATTAATTTGTGAACACTGCTAGTGTCAGGTCATTCAGCCCCATGTGATTTACCCTTTAAAGAATTTAGATTCTCTCACAGAGTGGACAACGTCTGGAACCTTTTACCCGATTCACTAGTGTCAGCTCCATCGGTGAACGCTTTAAAAAAGAAATTAGATCTCCGCAAAGATATATATTTCAAGGATTAACACAGGCCATAAGAGCCTACTATCCCCTATTATCTGAAACTTAATCTAGTGTGTAACTTCACCTGTTGGTCATTATTGTTACCTTGATTTTCGTATGGAACACGGAGATTCGGAAGTCTATCTGCATTTCATTCCATTCTCTCCAGTGTTTACCAGCTTGCTCCATGACTACCCTCAAGCTTTCATTTCTTCCTCACACTATTTCCCCCACGTTACCCTCGGACGCCTGACTCATTGTTCTCCGTTGAAGATTCGTTCGACTCCATGCCTTGAGCATTTGGTGTTACTCAACGATTTCCTCAGTGGACATCCAATCCTGCTGCATCCCTTTCTGCATATTTATTGAGTGATAGGTTCTCAATTGGTTTGCCGCTAAAATTCCTTATTGCTGATGCTTTCTAGTCATCTAATCTTCAGTATTGAGCAAAGGCAGGTATTCATAAAAGTCTATAATCTTTTTTCTTCTTTCGAGGGTTACTTCTCTTTTTGCGTATCTTATCAGTACCCTGATATTTCCTGCTCGAAACATGTGCATAACCGAGCTTTTTGATGACAAAATAAGGGAAATAGAAAACCTATCATATGAGAACGGGTACTCTGAAAAATTTGTTAAAGTCTCTATGAGGAGAACAAATAAAATGAAATACGTGCAAAGTGTGCCAAAGAAACGTATATGTATGACTTCACCGTTTAAAGGAAACGCAGCAACTGAATTGTTGGCATTGAGACTTCGAGAAATAATAGCTAAACCATCCTTTGCCGCAACTCTGTGTTTTAAAATTCACCACTTCTTGTATAATTCCAACGCAGGTGAAGGATAAGCTAACAAGTCTGATCACTTCAAGGTGCATTCATAAATTTAACTATTCACGTGGAGAGAGTTACATCGACCCGGCAAGCCTGCCGTCACCTTCTGGAGCATTGTCCGACGTGGTTAGGTGAAGGAGTCGTAAAGTCAACCAGAGGTTCCATAGTGCCACATCTAGTGGATACGAAGCACAAGATTGATAAAACTTCAGCTTTTACAAATTTATACAAGGTTACACCTCCACTCCCTTGGTTGGTACGTCTTCCGTTGCTAAGCATTGCTGACGCAATTGCTAGAAATATTTTTCAACCCAACCCCTGTGTTCAGAAAACGTTTGTGCAATCTCTCTCATTCACTTGGCCTTCAACTCCAACCTAAAATAGTTATCTCCCCTGGTGACATCGGATAACTGTGAATATTATCTTATTATGTTTTCATTTTATTTTATTCTATTTAGAACAACACATTTAAGCGAACAGTATTGTGGTTTCAATTAGGTCTCATCAGGCTTAACTCTAATATACATAAATTTACAAATAAAAATTCAAATATAAACAAATCATGGTATTTTGTCTATAGGATAATAAGATTGTGCATATAAATTGTGCAATTAGTTCTAATAATAATAGCAATGGTTTTATCAATAACAAGTTAGAAAAAAGAGATGATATGTGATAACAAGAATATTGAAAAGCAGCATGATTAAACAAACCAACAAATGTTCAGGTAGACGTGGTAGTCGATAAAGGCCAAGAAGAAAAAATGAACCATTTATGTAAGGCTGAGCATTTGACATTGTTATAAATGTCTTACGAGCAGAGAAAGA